AAGAATAAAATACTGAAAGCTTCAAATTGCCTCCGTAAAAATCTTCCTAGAAGAGCTTTCAAAATTGAGCGCCTCTTATATAAAAACAACACCTTATAGTTTACAGTTATCAACACTTCTAGTTATACACAATCAACAGCACGAGTAGCCGGTACTATATTCTAACGTCCGCTACATAGCTTAGAAACGAAATATTTCATAAACATTTATAGTTTCTCCTTATTCATAAAATTTACACTCATTCTAAATCTAAATGAAGTATTAAATTTTCAGTTTTTATTTTGTGTGCTTCTCCTTAACAATGTCATATAAAATATTAGCTTTCGTCGGCGTCAAAATATAGCTGTTTTGAAGACTTTCGTATCGGCTGATGTCTTATACGATTGTTGCAAATGAATTTAACGACCACTAAATTTTATTTTATGACTTCATGCCAGAATTTAACGACACACACAACGACAGCGACTGCGTCCATCAAGCAGAAACGTTTGCAACTATGGACCCAGGTCGTATGTGTGACATAGGACTAGCGCAATGAAGGCAAAGTGGGTGTGCTTGGGTGTTAAAAAGTGGATTCATTTGATGGTGGTTGAACGGAAGAACGCTTCGTGTACTTATCCCATAGTTTATATCGATTGTAGGAATCTTATATATTTATACAACAAATATACTTTGCTGTGCTTTTTGCAAAACAATTTCCTATTGCTCAAATCTTTGCAATTATGTGACCGCCACAGCTAAGAGAAATTCTTGTGGTCGTCTTAATTACTATACACACACGCTCGAAGGTAGTTGAAGTGCCTTAGCCCTTTTTCAGCCAAAATATAGAGAGCATGGCATATATAGTATGTATGCTCGAGAGGCTGCAATCAAATCGCATGTAAAATGTATTTGCTGTACTTATGGACTCTACACAATTTAACCACTAAAAACTTTCTTAATTGCTTAACCACTATGGCCAAAAGTTGTCGCTGTGGTAATTACATATAGGCAACTCACATCAAGAAAGGGCGTTTGTGCTGTTTGTTGGTTATGTGTAGAGCGCTTTTGTGCGATGTTCGGCTATGCTATTATATTATAAACTTTCATACCAATTAGTGAAATAATTCCGAACTACAACTTAGCTTGTTTTATAAATTATTTATCTGAAAGCGGAAATTATATAAAATTTGAAAGATGTATCTAACGATAAATTTTGCTTATTACAAACTAGAAACAGAGTCAATACTGCTTTGCCGAGAAGCAACCATTGTCTAAATAGGAAAACCCGTTATTAGTATTATTTTATTTCTTTGATTTTCCATATGACTTTTGCAGAGAGTTCAGTTTACTGGATATTCGTTAGGCGTTTGTGAATAATCGAGGGAACTGCCTTCCAAGCTATAACAGCCGGCTGGCGAAGTGAAAGCTCTACTCCTCTATTCTCGGAATGTGGGACTCAGCCGATTTTAGTTGTTCTCAAACTTGAAATTGAATGCTAATACAGTAATTTTGTGTACTATAAAGGGACCAGGTTACAGAAATTAGTATTGATAGGGTAATATTATATTGGGTAGTCGAAAAGGTTTTTTCGTATTTCTACTCAAACTTCAACATATTTTTTTATATTTATAACGAACTTTAATGAACCAAATTGGTATATATTTAGTTCACTAAAGTTCGCTATAGATATAAAACAAAAATAAGTTTTGGTTAAACACTTTTTGCCATTTCTGCGCTAAAGACATTATTCCATCAGTGTAAAACTTTTCTGGTTTCTGGTGTCAAGTAATTTTCAAAGGCTTCTTTTGAAGCCAACTGTATTCTGTTAAGGAAGTTATGCATTGACAAAAACAAATTGTAGCCCGATGGTGCATGGTCAGTGCTATATGGTGGATGCATCGAAACTTCCCAACCAAGCTCTCTCCGTTTTTGCCGAGTCATCAAATATGTGTGCAATCTTGCGTTGTCCTGATGGGAGACGAAGCTCTTTCCGTTGATCAGTTCTGGCCAATTTTTTTCAATTGCATGCTTTAATCTCATCAGTTGTTGACAGTAAAATATAGAATCAATCGTTCAAGCAGGCTGAATCAGCTCATAATGGATGATTACTTTCCAATCCAACCTAAAACTCGGCATAACCTTTCGAGGCGTCAATCCTGGCTTTGCGACTATTTGTTGAGCTTCACCACGCTTGGACCACGATTTTTTTCACACATTATTACTCTATTTGGTTCACCGCTCGTTTCCTATTCCCATTCGATTCAGCAGTTATTCGATTTCATTTCGTTTCAGCAAAGAATCACAGATGTTCCTTCGGTCCATTAAATTTTTCACAGACAGATTTTAATACTTACGAAAAATATGAAAGTTGCAACTGAAATTTTGTAATATAAATAACAAAATTCAAATAAATTTTGGTGGTGGTGTACAGTAGAACTCACTAGTCGGGAGTCGGGATCTTAAATGTGCTCGAAAAGTGCTTTTGAGTTCTTAAGTGAACTTAAAGGGTATTTTGAAGCCAGTAATGAATTTGTTCATATTCAATTGAGTTAACATTTGATCAAGTGGTATTTAAATGTCTTGCAGAAAGGCCTTGTCATTGTAAATAATTGTATTGCATAATTGTTTCTAAAATACACTTTATTAAATTATATTACTCAAACGTTGTTTTACTTAGTAAATAGTATAATGAAAATGCAAAGGCCGAATTGCAATGCCTTCACAAAGCAAAAGCTCTGTCCACAAAATATTTTAGTAAATTTATGTGTAATATACAAAGTGGATTCCTGCTAGCATTCGCTGACATATATTATATACATACGTATACAATATACATATATATATATATACATATGTATATATAAATGCTGACCAGCTACAAAAGATACCGCAACCGCAAATCAATCACATTTCTGCATATTTGCTTTATTTGCAGAAAAGCTTAGGAGAAATAGGTGCAAACAGAACATTACATCCTACATAGCCGCATGAAGGCCGTTAAAACATATGTATATGCATATCTAGTATAGTATATCTAAAGGAACTAAGGAAATGTGAATATGTATGTAACACACATACAAATATAGCAATCAATTATAATGTGCAAAGTTGCTATCTGATTAGGCGCAAACACTTGTATGGGAAACCGCAACATATACTTGCGGTGTGGTTGCCGACACGCAAAAAGCAGCGCAAAATCGCACCAACACAGACACGCAGATACGCGCATATATGAAAAGGGGTATGCACACATGTGCACTATACCGAAAGTTTGAAGGATATGAGAATTAAGCGAATCCAGCAGCGAAAATGTGTGCATACCGAAATGCATTCTCTGTGGCTTCTGCGGATATATAAATATATTCATATATGCCTCAAAGGTATACAGGTATATATATAAAATGCATAAGTAAATATTTGCACATAAATAAATTGTGAATACCAAATCTCAATTGCGAGTAATTTTCTATTGAGGTTGTCAAATGTCTAGTTTTAGTGGTTTTTTTTTATAACTTTGCAATTACTGAAGATTTCGTGTTTACTTACAATATATTGATAAACAAACCACAAATAATGCAATTAAGTGGCATTTGTTGCTAGGCCGAGGACCATTGAATCAAGTTAATTTTCTAATTAATTTGCTACTTAATTTTAATTAAAAATCTTTGCTAAATGCACAACAAAATAATCACTATTGTTTGGTGAATGTTTGTCTTTTTGATCTACATAAAGTGCATTTGGCGGTTTTTGCGACGAGTAAAATTATTCTGCAAAAAAGTTCCATTCAATTTTGTGTGCAGAATCAGATTTCTGGTGTCGAAACATGCAGAATATTAGAAAAGGCGATGACGGCGAACTACGTACGGGAATCAATAACAACTGCAATTGATGATCAAGGCATACAACATAAAAATTGATGTGAATTGACGTTTAACAGTCTGAATCTTTCTGGCATCGTTGGAACATCGGAAGGATTAGTGAAAACCAATTTGAAAGGTCATTTGGGTCTAAGAAAAGTGAAAGCATGATTGGTTCCAAAATCACTCAGTATTTTCTAAAAAAAAAAAAACAGCGTCACGTTAACGTCTGTGTCATGAAACATATAATAACAAGTCCGTTCTTTTCGAATGTAACTTTATTAATTAATTACAATTTCCAATCCTTACAGCTAGGAAGTTAACATAATGTATGTAAGCTTAAAACTAATGAGTGCAAGTGTTTATTGTTGTCGTTATTATTATTTAAGGAGAGAGAGAATTAAGTTTAAGAAAGATCAATTAGCAAGTATGGAAATTATGAAATGAGAAAAAGAGATATGAGAGGATAAGTAAGACAGGTAAAGAAAGAAGAAAGTGTATGTTGTTGGTAGTGGGAGTATTGGTATATGACTATATTATTACTGGCTATGTTGAATCCATACAACAGACAATTAATCGAACGAATATCGTGGTAAAGCTGAGCCGAAGTCGAAAGAACTACGCCAAGGCATATCAAAAATCAAGGCTATGTTGACAGTTTTCTTCGATTATCGAGGTGTGGTGCACTACGACCGGCCATAATGTCAGCAAAGAAAACTATTTGAGTGTTGTGTTTCTTTTGCTCGAAGCTTATTCGATTCGTAAGAAGAGACCGTAACTATGGGCCGACAACTCTTGGGTTTTGCACCACGATAAAGCACCGTCTGATACTGCATTGATTCTTCATTGATTTGCTTTATGGTCGGCGGAAATTATACGTCTCCGTATAAGAAGTGGCAAGGCGAAGCGTTACTTTCTTAAATATCTGCCAGATGTTCACAAGCAAAAAATGGAAAACTCGAGTTAATTGAGCAACCGACATTGCTTTGTTGTAAGCTTTATTCTAGCGGAAAATTTTTAAACTGTATTTGCATTATTTAAATATTTATATAATAAAATAATAACAAATAGATTGAATAAGATAGAAATTGTTGTTGTATTATTTGTTGTTCATATGTATATTCTCTATTAATATATTTCTATAAATTCTTTCAATTACAGATAACACATTTAACAGGGACAATTTGGAGTTTTCTCTTCCAAAGCGAGTCAGGGTAAATATATGTACTTTTATAAATGCCTATGGAAATTTTCATGACTATGGTTACTATTAAGACAGTATGAATATCAGATAAGGTATTATAAATTTATTTGAAAAAGGTCGAATGTCTGAATGGCATCATAAAATGCAATGAAATATAGTGAATAACATAAATTCGAAAAAGCTTTACAACTTATTTACTAAAGCTTCCAGTGCACATATTTTATGTCATTTTTATTATAAACAAGACAGTCTCAGCACAAATTTTCATTCAAATCCCTAATAGGCTTGGTCAAGCAATGAATATACAACAAATCATCAAACTCAAAGCTAGTCATAATTAAATTCACACTTTATACAATACGAAAGTAACCAATCTTGTAGGATAAAATCTGCAAACATTTTTGCACAGAAAACTTTTCTCAGAATTTGAAACGCCTTTCAATAGCATTCGAGTCGAATAACAGGTTTTCGATGGCATGAAGGAGCAATAAGCGTTTATGCATTTGAATTTCAAATTCCAACTGTCAACTGCTGAGCAGAAAAGTGCAAGCAACCAGCACATACGGCAATCATAAAGCGTTGAATGGAAAACAAAGTGGAAAATGCAAACAAGCGGCTGTGTGCGAGCAACTCGTAACGTGTGATGCTGCATTAGAATTGGATGGCATGCAATGTTTGAGTAAAGGGCAACAGTGGCAGCAACTGCCCCAACAGCAACGCATTGCGACGATACACGATGATTGCGCAACATGCGTGCTGCAAAAGTGGCACACAGCAAAGCTTGATGTACACACAAACACACTCACATGCGCGCATACATACATATATGAAAATGGAAAATATAAATGCAAGAGCAGAGAAACCAGTGTGAAAGAAAATTTACAACTTGAAGATGCACAGTGTTTGAGCCAGTTGCTAAGCCAATATTTGTGTGCATGTTTGCGGCTGTGTATGTGTGTGCGGCCAGTTGGCCATATAAAACGAAACAAGAGCGCATGTAGAGCGCAAGCTGTGGTGGGGTTGGTGAGCAAGTTTGACAAAAGTCAAGGACTAAACCAATACACACACACATACACATACAAATGTAATGCACACACACACACAAACACTCATATTCGTAGCGTATTGCAAAGGGCCTCAAAATGCCGCTAACCAACCGCAACTCACTTTAATTTAAACAGACAGTTTTACATCTTTTGTGGTTTTGCGATGTTTGCACAGTTGCTTTTTGGGGCGGCTTGTGGCATAAAAACTTTTGCTTAGCCTGTTTCCACTCTACGCATATGTATGTTTATTTGCTATTTACATACATACAAAAGCGCTGTACTCGTATGCTATTTCTGTGTGTACGGATAGTAATTTGCGTAGTTGTAACGTATCTCTATGTTGGCTTCTATCAACATGTCATTATGTGCATGAAACGGCAACGTCATGTGTACTTGTGCACATAAATATTTGGTCTATGTTCATTCATATTTTGTAGGTCAGGGTTTTCGCTTTATTACTTACAAATGAAAGCACAGCGTTCATTTCTGTTTTGTATGCTGATGGGCAGTGGATTTGCGATTTAATATTAATTCTAATTTCTAGTTTTGTATGGGTTACAGAAATCTTAAACGAACTAAAACAAAAGTGTTTTTAGGTTATGGAAATATACACAACTTAGAGGGCAAACATGGGAGTATGTAGATGGTTTGATGCACATACACACACTAAAAACTACAGGAGCTATAAACAAAGTCAAACGGAAAAATAACCTCACCCACTTCACACGCATCACTAGTGCTGGGAATTCCAGGAAGTAACATTTCTGTCTAATATACTACGAATAAAGGTCACAAACATCAAAGCCATAGAACAATTCGCAAATTGAAGTATTAATGACATGAGAGAAGATAAATAGATAAAATTTCCTATCTCACGAAAATGGTTTCAATCGAAATTCATATTATGTCTTCCTTTCACAAAATTTGAATTTGAGTTCAGTTAGAGGTAGCACCTAGTACTTTTCATTGATTTTACTAACAAAAATACTTCCACAAGACATTTCTAAAGCAGCTTAGTCCCTATGCAATGATTACCCGCCCATTGGCGGACTTATGTTGTAATATGTATGCGCAATAATAAGATGTTATTTGCTAGTCTGCTCATTTGAGTTAATCGTCAGACGGTTTTATGGAAGAGTTTAGCAAAATATTTTCGCAAGTTTAGCTCAAAAAATAGGGCCTAGTAGAAATTAGCGTAAAGGGCAGTCTAATAAATAAACTATTAAACAGTTTTGCAAAATTTAAAAAATATTTTTGATCACATCCTCTTTGAATATTCAATGCAGCAATTATTCGTGCATACTTTGTACGGAGTACATGTATGTATGTGTGCTCATATTAATTATGCAGTGAGGCATACTCCGTGCCAAGTGCAAATACGTTCAAGCGAATATATTAGTATTTACTTGATGCGCCTGTTTGCCTGCTAGAGGTCGCCGTTTATTAGTATTTGCATGCATACGGTTTCGAGCGCGCTGTCTGTGGCTTAACGTATATGTTTAGCGCTGCCACCTATAACCTAGTCCTTAGTTTATGATTTATATGTGGTCACAACATACACAACTCTGCATGGCATGTGTGGAAATTAAATTTTCTGAACGTGAGAAGTTAAATTAACCCTTATTTCGATTATTTTCTTATGCTTTATATGCACATAAATGCCAACTCAGGAGGTGCTAATCAATTGTATTAGAATAAAACTGGAAACAAGAAAAATACATTATAAAGAAAATCATACTAAATTTAATGGCAAAAAATACTAGTTGAGGAGCATGCTATAATTGAAAGCTTTGCTGAAAGGTCCATAAATATAATTGCGGTAAAAAACACATTAAATTATTACAACAAATACAATAAAGATGGTACATTTTAACAACAAATATATTTGCAAACATTACAAAATCAGTCAAGCTAAAATTAATCTAAACTTTTGACAGTTTTAAGTTTTCATACTAATCACTTATATTCAAATATATCAAAAATACTTATCTAATACAAGTAATGCCTATTCGAATCGGTAATACCCACCCAAATAAAAAAGTCACATATGTACAAGCATATGTATATGCATACATACATACATATACGGCTTTTTGTATCAGTTTATTGCCGATTTTCTGATTTACAATGAGCGCTTAATTTGTTTACTATTTAGACACAAGGACCTGCAGCAAAACACTCAAAACCTCTTACATAAATCAGAATTCAATGACTTGCACTGGCAGCAGCAGCAGCTTTAGGAACAACAGAACATTCACATCGAATATAAATAGCAAGCGAAAATAGAGGTTTTGCGATAATAAGTGAAGGACAGTGGGACAACTCAAACGTAAAAAATGAAGTTCGAAAAATCTTATACGAGTAAATAATGCCGATAAATGCTTTTTATTATTGTACTGCAATTAAATGCTTCAAATAAAAATTTCAAAAAATGGAAAGTTGCTATAAGTTAGTGATTTTTTTAATAATTATCCATCGCTTACAGTTAAACATCTTCTCGATGAATGCACTAGTGTTTAGTGCAACTAGAAACGCACTATTTGATGATCAACCCATTTCAAATACGCGCAAGGCTTTTTCTGAAGAAAACATCCACAAGGTAGCCGAATTTTTGTACAAAACTGGCCTTAGAAAGTTAATTTAATTCTCTAATTGTAAGTTATATTAGATCCAAATAGCTTCATTACTAACGTCAATTATTTTAATAATTGTACTGACAGTAAAATTGATCTCATATTTACCTTTTACTGGCTAATATATTAATATTTTAAGACAATATAGTTTTATTAGAGCAGTAAGCCGTAAGCCGTAAGCCCTGGCAGCTAGTGCTTCTTACTCCGTAAGATAATAATTGTATTATTATTTTTCATCTAATAAATAAATAAATAAAATTAATAAATTAAGTAGCAAACAAAACCAAAAATAAAGGTCTTTAAGCAAAATATATTTTGTATTAAACCAAAACCATTTGAGAAAACGTCGAAGCTTCAAGAAATAACTTCATTAAGTTTGCTACCAGTTCGAGTAGTAAAGACGTATTGAAACGCAAAGAAGTATCCCCTAATTGGTTGGCATTAAAAAACAAAAAAAAAAAAACTCATATTAGAGCGTATTCGAATTTTTAATGTCTTAAGAGCTTATTTCACAGTAATCAGGAAATGACATACTGTGCCGCAATGTGTGTACGTAAAAGAACTGTTATTGAGGATTTCGTTAAACGATTGATGACTAACGTCAATATACATACGTGTAATTGTATTTACTTTCATTGCCATCTCATTTTCGAGCACAATTGAATTGCATTATAAAAATAAAAATTTCTCTTTTCCGTGGTAAATTATCGGATTTTAAAGCAACACAAAAAGCCAAAGGCATTTGAAAATGGATAATTGGTTTAAATGATGATATGCCCTTAAATAATTTGACTTATGAAGCGCAGTGATTGATTGATGGAATTCAGAAACATAAAGTGTGGAAATAAATTGACTTGCACTTATTTCATATTAATCACATGTCACAAAATTTAATTAATATTAACTTCGTTAGAAATTCTCACTTAAACACAAACAATGGCACAAACATAAGTACACACAAATGTCAAAGTTGTTTAAGTGTGTGATATTAAATTTCATAAAAAAAAATTGTTGGATGGTGTAAATGATTTTCGTCTACTTAGTGAGTGTGCTGCTGACATTAAACGTTTATGACATGAGAAGGCAAGTATTGAACAAAAAGTGACTGCTTTAGCCTCTTTCATGGAACCGTCGTTGGAAGTCTTGATGTGGTACCAATAATCATATTGAAAGCGTCCTTCAGCAAGATGACGCAATGTCAGAAATAGATGTGATTTCAAAATTGGTCATCTTGATATCCAAATTCTGCCAAAATTACTTAAAAGTAGTCAGAGTTTGTGACTAGAAAATACCTCCGAATAAAAATTTATAATCCATCACCATTAATCCAG